GTACTCTAAAACATATAAATAAGTTACCCGGGCAATTGATTTGCATTAGCCAATCAGACGAATTTCTGCCTATGAAATGTTATCCTGCTCACGCATAATTATGTGACTAAAACTTATTCATAATACTTTTAAGAACATACTTCACTAATGGCAGTCAGCAATTAAACTCAATATAAAGTAGATATCGGTCGATCTTAAAATTGTTTGAAAGCAATTATTCGTTAATTTTTTGTTATATACTAACCAAACTTTTACTAGTGTCTTTTCGAATAATAGAAAAATTAATCCAATCAGTTATTTTATGTTACACGAAAACAGGATCGATCTGCAAATAAAAGGCAAAACTTTTAATTTCAGAATCTTTTAAAAAATTGTTGATAACCCCATTAAACCGCATTTACGTTCTAATTAAAAAAAGATTTTTGTGAAATATTTGTACCCCGGAGTACATATTACAGCTGTTTTCATTAATTGTCGCGGCTGATGCTAAGAACTGATCCTATGTTTTGATATGAAATTTTATTTTAAAAAAATTTTTGGGATGTATTTCTTTTTAGGATTAGGTTAGGATTCATGGTTAGAATTGTTAATAAAGGAGTATATGTGGATTTTAGTAGGTTTAGTGGACTCAGATTGAGACTCCAAATCTCAACATTAGCCGCGACATTAAATTTATTGACCATACTGTGCTACTTGCGAACTTGCTCGAAAGCTCTGAAGAGGTTGCATTGAAGTTGTTCGAATCGTGGAAGAAAGAGGATTTAGAACTTGTACAATATAAAAATGGAATCACTAATAAACGTAAGTGGCCATTCTGATCAAACTCTAATATTAACAGCTTTTAAACAATACGAAATAATTTTCTTTTATTGATAGTTGTAAAATGTACAAATAAACGTTCACAAGTTTCTATATTGATCCGTATTTATGGTAAAAAATCAGAGGTCTTTATTAACAGAGTAAAGGAGACGATGGTAAGCAATTTTGTTCACTAATACATGTTTTGAATTTGTTTTCAATACATTATAATTTATTCTTCAACGACTATATAGAATATAGTATCTTTATCTAAGCGTGGATTAGTACGTCAGGTTTATTGCCGATTTAACAACGGAATTGTGTATGGTTATACTCCTGGTCGTGCACTTTCCGTACCAGACATGAGCAATCAGCATATATGCTTGCTTATTGCAGAACATATGGCAGTTTGGCATAAAGTGAACATTTCTAATGAGAAGGAATCAGCACTATTTCCTAATTTACGGAAATGGTTAAAAGAAGGTACCATTTCATGTCCAAAGTTTACCAATAACTTCATGCATAATTTTACAGATTATCTTTACACATTATGCTAGTACCGAGATCGTATGTTGATCCAAAAACTGACGAGAAATTTCAAAAAAATTTTAAATTAGAAGAACTCTTTAATGAAGTATGTTTTAAATTTTTTTATGAAATTTACAAAGTTTTTTTTTTAATATTTAATAAAACGAATTGTTTATATAGTTGACCGTTTTAGAGAATGAATTAGTAAATTTAGGATTGCCCGTTGTATTTTGTCATAATGATCTTTTGAGTGGAAATATTATTTATGATGAAGCTATAGACAAAATTTCGTTCATAGATCTTGAATATGGATCAATGAACTATAGATCATTTGATCTTGCAAATCATTTTAATGAATACGCAGGTAAATTTACGATAATAGGGTATATGATTGATAATTTCTGGCTAATGGTTTTCATTTGTGAATTTTTAGGGTTTGAGTGCGATTATAGTTTATACCCATCTAAAGAATTTCAACAAAAATGGCTGAGACATTATCTTTGTTCATATAAACCTGGTATGTTTATTCGTTTGTGAGTTTATATTGTTTTCAAAA